TAGCAATTGACAGTTAATACAGCTATAAAATCATACTATAATGTTATTCTGATTTAATTAGAATTTATATTGATTTAATTAGAATTTATATACTATTGGATATAAACATAAAATTAAAAAAATAAAATAGAGATAGGGCTATAACGGGGACAAACTATTTTGCTAATGACTAGCTGCCACTTAATTCTAAATAACAAGGCTCCTACAACCAAGTACCAACCAATACATATGTACGTCATGGCCTCAAGTTCCCTTATTTCTAATAAAGAAGAAGGGAAATAAAATTGACCCCAATTTCTTATAAGATTAAGCTTTTTCCAGTGTAAATGTTTTAGCTAGAGATTCAAATTTCTACAGTACCAAATGAAATGAACATGCATCAAGTTATATTCTACCCAAAGGTGGCACCTTTTCAATCATAAAGCTTGCTGCCGACATCTTACATGGACCTGATACGTGAGCCGAGTGTATATATATATCAGTTTTATCAAACCTCCAAATGCAAAAATGTGCAAAATTACAAACATTTATATCATACTTCTATGTAACATAGACCGTAAAAATAAACGTTCACTTGTTTTGAATCAATAATGTAATAGGAGTAAACAAGGGCAGAGCCAAAATTTTAATTTAGAGGGGGCGAAGTGTAAAAAAAATATATATATTATAATTTAAATAAGAAGAACCAAAAAAATATTACATACTATATACATCATTCTTAAGTGCAAAAAGAAGAATGATAAGTAAAGGGCAAAAAAAAAAATAAGAAGAAGAAAAATGGCAAAAAATGAGAAATTTGAAAGGAAAAAAAATTAGAGTTTGAGTAAAGAATGAAAATTTAACTTTTTTAAGAAAATCAAAGAAATATTAAGAGCAAAATAAAAGGAAAAAAAAATTAACAATTTTAGAAATTTAAAATTTTAGAGGGAGCATTATATGGAAATTTCCTTATAAATGTACAAATTAAAATAAAAATTACTATATTTTATAATGGGCGAGGCCAAACCAGGAGGGGCATGTGCTGGCTCTATCCCTGGGAGTAAACCTAACATGATAGTTTTATGGGTAACATGATCCTTGTATGTCCTTATGTTTTTGTTATGGATGGGGACTATACGTTGGTATTTTGAATGATAAGTGTTTGGGTTTCACACAAATGCATTAATTGCATAAGAATACGTATCCATCACCATAACAATAAAGGATTATATTATCCACGTTGGGGCACGTAGTGGTGTTGTGGTGTGGATTACGTTGTGGAATAATACCAAAATGGTTTGCATGATTGAATAGTTGGAAAGTTATTACCGTTACTTCCCAAAGGTTACATATAAGAGTCGCAACCATTATCAACCACAATCGCAACCATTGTCAAACACAGTCACAACCCTTTAAACCAATGCATTTGGGTCTTGTCTTATGACGAACATACACCATGTTTTAGATGATTCAAAAACAACATGAATGTGATTTTGGATGTCCAACTGTTGCAATGTGAAGGGTTGTATGTTGTTGCATGCAGAGACTTGCAATATACAGAATTAATGCGAATTAACATATTCAGTGATTGGAATTTAACATTGGGTAGTGACTGTTGGAAGAATATGTTGGAACAAGTGTAATGCGGTTGGTTGAGACATTCAAAAGGTATGAGGATGACTCGTCTTCATTCAAACCAACAGTTGCAACTCATTGGAGAGGACGTGTTTGGTAACGAAGAGACACATGCAACTTTATAAATACCCCCAGACTATCATGTGTAAAGTCATTTATTCATTTTCGTCTCTCTCCCTCTCTAGACTTGAACGCAACCCAAGTGGGTTAAAGCCATAGGTTAAGTGGTCTGAGCCACTTAGACCCAAGAACAGTATGACTGGGTCATATTAAAATTGGTCCGAGCCATTTTGTTCGGATTGCACCCAATTCATTATTTATATAGTATAGATGCATTTTTGAGTTAGAGATACCATTACACGGAGGAGGTTCGCCGTATCCACAAGTTTGTAATGCTTCTACTGATGGATGTAGACTGTTGTATCATAGGAGACAAGCGCTTTAGCACCATGCGGGGCGTAAATTGTCTTAATGACATGGTATCCCAACCCATACTAGCCTCGATCTAGATTCTTTATTTATTTATTTATTATTATTTTATTGGTTTAATTTGCATGTTTAATTAAATATAGAATTTTCTATTTAATTAATTATTTTTAGCATATTATTATCTCATAGTATATTAGTATAAGGTTAGTTATATCTTAAATGTCATTTGAAGCATATAATTTTCCAATATTATACACACTCATAAGCTATATATACCTCTGTTTTACAATTTGCAGCTACATTTTCTCTCTAGATATCTTTTTGATGGAGTGGAAGGGGGTAGTGGTTGCAGTGTGATTGTGACGGCAGTGGAGGTGGCAAGGTGGGTGGTGATGTATTGGTGATGGCAGTGAATAAATATACGCATGCATATATTCTTATATAGGGGTAAAATACAATAACAACCCCTGAGGTTTGGCATTCGGACAACCATATACAAGTTGTCCTATTTTTGAACAATGACACCCTTTGTCAAAAATTGGATCCAAACAGTTTTTTAAAAATTATAAAAAGTCAGGATCATCCTTTAATATTTTATTAATTTAAATTATAAAAAATCAAACTCTTAAATGACGCTTTTACCCTTATATACTTATTACTCCTCTGTATATATATTTATTTATATACATATATACATTTATATATTATATGTACATATGTATATTGTAAACCACCATTCACCCAGATCCCAAAGCTCCGGCCACGACATCCACCTCCACACCTTCCAACCACCACCACTGCCTAAGTTTGCTCACCCACTACCACCTCCACCTCCACCTTCCTATTGCGCCCAAAATGAGCCACCACTTCATCCGTCTTCCTATTATGCCCAAAACGAACCCACCCACATCTACCACAGCTTTCATGTAGGAGGCGAATCGGATTACTATAATATGCCATTATCGCCGTGGCGACACCCGAAGTCAGAGGAGTATAACTACTCCAATTATTTCAATTACCCACCACCGTCGTTCAATGGCAACCAATCGGCGGGGGATTTGGAGGTTAACAACGATGAGGAAGGTCTTCATGTACTTGCCCTATGATTGGGCCTTTTTTTAGCACATGCATTACAGGTTGTCGGGTCAGGCGAGATGTTATTGAGCTTGGTCGCCAATTAAAGCCAGTCGATGTCGGCGGGTTATAAGAGCCACCGGGGTACTTTTGCTTCTTGGATAAGTTTTTTTTTTTTTTTTTTGGGAACGGAGAGAAAAAACGTCGCCAGGAGGTGAAGCCTAGCCGTTGGATCTGGTGTACAGGTCGACGTGTTTGAGAGTTCCACCGTTGATTACTTCGTCCGTCCATTCGGTGGTGATGTAGGGGGCGGAGGCTTGTTCGATGATGGAACTCTGATCCTTTGGCTTTTTCTAATTCTGTTTCGTTGGGCACATTTTTCTCTCTCTAGGATCCCGTCTATCCCTCTGTGTATCTTTCTATCTCAAAATGAGGTTATTAAGTTAGAAGCTTCGCCCCAAGGAGTAGTTCCTTGTTGCACTATGGTACTAGTAATGGTATGATGTGGCGGTGATGATTGAATACACAATGGTGGGTGGTTTTGGGGATGGAGACGATGGCGGTGATGTTGGGGATGGAGATTAGCATAGTTCATTTGACGATGATACATCGACGGTAAGGGGTTTAAGGGCAAATAATGCTAGGGATTTGGTGGTGGGTTTAAGGGAAAGGTAGCGGCTGCTTGTTTGGGTTAGGGTTTGAGAAGGGAAAGAGAAGAAGAGAGTGATGAGAGAGAGAGAGAGAGAGAGAGAGATAAATTGGGTTTCTCATATGAGTTATACCTAGTAACCCATTTACACATATTTGATCAAAGGGCATTTAAATCCATAAAAAAGGGTTGTATTGTTTAAATTTATAATTTAATGTGTTAAAGGGTAATAAAGTCAATTATCAAACTCGAGGGGGTGCCATTATCTAAAAATATGCCAACTTGTATATGTTTGTCTTTATGCCAAACTTCAGGGGGTGTCATTGTACTTTACTTTTTTATAATAACAACAACAACTTTACTCTTTTATAATAATAATAATAAGAATAATAACAACAATAATCACATTCCAAAAATTAATAACGTGCAAAATGTTCGGGGAGTTTTTCATATGTACTATTGACAATTGCATATCAACCCCTAATAATAATAATTATAATAACATCACTTTGATAATTAATGGAGTTTTATATCCAAGGGGCTTTTTTTGCCAAAAATTAAAAGTAAGAGGGGATATGTGTAATTTATCCTATTTATAATAATTATAAGAAGTAATAGTTTGGTGAGTTTTTAATAGTTTTGCTCAATTTCAAATCTAAGCTAAGCCCGCCAACTATCTTCCCATATAACACGCACTCCCACCCGTTAACATAGAAGCCCTAGATAAATCTGAAGTGAATAGAAGCCCTAGATATCTGAAGCGAAGCGACGCGACGCGAATAGAAGCCCTAGATAAATCTGAAGCACTCCTTGGTAATCGGAGAAATTTATTTATTTTCCTAATCTAGGTTTTAATATTCTATATAAATGCTGTGATTCGGGAGTTTTTTGGTTTCCATGTTTACGACAAATTAGATCTGTGACCTAGGGTTTCCGGTTACGTTTTCTTTATTTTGTGCATCGATATTGTAACCCCTGTTTCATATTCATTTTCTATTCGGATAATTTTGTGCATATATATATATTTTTTTATCTAGTTTGTCCGATCATTTGTGAAATTTACGTAGGTTTTCCATGTTGACGATAACTATTTCTCATAGTAGATTTGTAACCTAGGGTTTACCGTTCCGTTTCATATGTTATTAGCGGAAAATCCAGAAACAAGCCTCACACAATCGGTTGATTCACACACTATTCCGACGTGTCTCACATTCCCGGTGAGCGGACTGTTGCAGAGAAAAGGAGTTTACACGCACAGGTGTGTGTGTTTTGGGCAAGCGGTGATGATATACAAAGGGCGGAGATATTTTAAGACCGAACAAAGCACACTAACCCATGCGAGTCCGATCATTTGTGCATATTTTTTTTTACCTAGTTTGTCCATCATTTGTGCATATTTTGTTACCTAGTTTATTGGTGCATATTCATATTGATGTTCACTTTTTTTTTTCTTTATTTTCTTTATATGTGGCATTTAAGGCATCTGAATTTGATATTTTTTCAGATTGTTTGCCTGCATAATGAATCCCATTTCTTATATTAGCCTCGTCTCATGGCCGCAGAACAAAACCCCTGGGATCATTTGTGCATACTTTTTACCTAGTTTGTATATTCATATTGGTGTTCACTTTTTTTTTTTTTTTTTTCCCTTTATATGTGGCATCTTAAGGCATCTGAATTTGATATTTTTTCAGATTGTTTGCCTGCATAATGAATCCCTTCATATTGAATTCCCGGGATCAGCTATGGTTTGCATCTTCTGGATGTATGGCGCAGCTGCCCTGGCCGGGGGAAATGGTATATTACTTCCCTAAGGGGCACTCTCAGCATATGGGGGCTGAGAATGCTGATTATCTAGGAGAAATGGTTGGTTGCCTAGTTTCTGCAATTACTTTACAGGCAACTCCAGACACTCTTGAGCCGTTTGCAGAAATTACACTGGTTCCATGCATTGTGGATCCTTCAAATTGTCAGGGAAATTCAAACATTTGTGGGCTTGAGTCTGTTGTAAACCCATTGTCCTTCAAATTTTTATCAGTTTCTGATGTAAATTCTTGCTTTGCTGTTTTAAAACACTGCGTCAACACAATTTTTCCTCCACTGGATTCTTGTGAAGAGCAGATAATACATGCACATGATATACATGGTAAAACCTGGGACTTCAGGCATATATTCAAGGCATCACAAAGCCAGGATCTTCTACGGGGAGAATGGAGAACATTCGTAAAGGAAAAAAAACCCAAGCATGGAGATTCTATAGTTTTTATGAGGGCTGAAGCTGATAGTATCTTATTAGGTATTGTAAAAAAGATAAGCAGCATGGCTACATCCAGCATGGCTACATCCAGCATGGCTACATCAATTAGCCAAGAAGTTTTAGAGAGTGGGGTTCCCATAGAGGTTACATATTACCCACGAGCTGGTCCCCAATTTTGCGTGGGTGTGTCAGATGTTCTCAGGGCATTGGAATTTCCTTGGGCGGCAGGAATGCGGTTCAAGAAAGCTTTTGAAATGGAGAACAATGCAGCAGGAATAGAGTGGTTTCATGGTATAGTGACCTCAGTTACTGATGATAATTGGAATTGTCTGGAGGTATATCAATTTAAGCTTAATTGTTTTTGCTTTATTGTACACATTAGGTTGTCGTATTGTACTTATATAGTAATTTATTTTCTATTGACTGGACGTTCAGGTACAATGGTATCACTCGGATCGGAATGAACACTTTGTAAGCCCTTGGACTGTGGAATTCATTCCCACCAGTCTTCCCCATCAACCACCATCCCTGTGGCCTCGTGGACCACGAGGCCCCGATAGTCAAAATTCTGCTCCAGTGGCGGGCGTTGGATTCTTGCCCAAGCATCAGATTTTGCGGGGTGAGACATCGAGGTTTCGAGAAGAACATAAAAGGCAGGCAGACTGTCAACGCGAATCCGATGGTTTGTGCATTCTTGTAATTTTATATTCCTTTGGTTTGGAATCATTAGTGAGAACTATACCTCATATTATTTTTCATAATTTTTTATAGCAAAGTGTTTATCATAGTGGCTGTCCAATTCTAGTAATTTTGTTTTCTCTTACTTGTCTTAAATTAACGAATAAACTAAAAATGAACCCACGTGCTGCATAATGACTAATCTTGTCAGCAAAGATATGCTAATTATTAGGAAGTATGTCCTTGTGAATCAATTTTTCTTTGGTTTTTGGTGACTCGGTCTACATTTTCTATTATTCATGTTTATGGTAATCGTTTGTAATCTCTCAATGCTGACTGAGTTCATATTTTTCATTGACTTCAATATTTGGTTCTCGGTCCAGAAAGTGCCTTGCTGATCATTGATGATACACAGCAGGTAAGTAAATCAATAATCAGTAACACTCTATATTTGCTTAAATATTGTGATATTGACTTGTTTATCTCATGCTATTTTTGTTATATGGCTATCCACTTCTGTCACTGGTCCTTTGTTTCTTTCCCATGTTTTTAAAGCTTTTGACTGTTAATTGCGTTTGCCTGCAATTGTTCTTCCTGACAAGTGCCACCAAATGCTTAAGCAAGATAATTTGATACACTTTTCTGTTTATTTTTTATACATTTATTTAAAGGGCCATTTAGTGTACACATGTTTGTTGATTCCAAGACTCGAGCTAGGGATGAATCAAGTTCACAGTGCCGTCATTAAGTATTGAACCGAAGCAAAAGCTCAGTAACGGTTGGACAATATGAACTACAGATCTGGATTCATTGGTGACACACGTGGTGTCTACATACACTAGAATGAATGTCTTACCAAAAAACAAAAAGGTTTTTAAGTGATTCAGGATATGTCTCACTAACTTTATTTATTTTTTTATTATTTGGTTCACTAAAAAAATCAAAATTCTGTTGGTTTGTAAAAAAAGGTTGTTTTCTGCATTCTGTGTGTGCTGATATGAATCATTGCATAAATAGCTGTACCACACTGGTCAAAATAAAAACGTCAGGTATCCTTATTTGTGCTGATTATTGGGTTTGCCAGTCTCTTGAATTTTTTTTTCAAAGATTCAAAATTTAGAAATAGCTTACCTTTCTTACACATGTTGTTGCCAAAGAATTGATATATTGGGCTAGAGGTAACTCGAAGTCACTATTGACTTAACGATGGTTCAAACCCCACTATTCTCCGTGATTTGGAAAAAAATGTGTATGTTCTTGACAACCAAATAAGCATGTTATTAATACATTATAGTAATTTCTTACCTTTCTTACACGTTTTGTCTTGTTCTTATTTTTCCACTGAAGCTTTATGTGGATGTGCCTTCGTCCCATTACATTGCTTTTATGTTCATAATTTTATTTTCAAAAAGAAAACAAGTTGTGGAGTAACTCATTTAAATATTATAAACTTGTATGCTTATTTGCGGTACTAGATACTCCCTTTCTTCATCCTCAAAAAGGCTTATATCATTTCAGTTTTAATTATATGAAGACAGTTAAACCTAGAGTACCAACTAACTTGTCTACTCAGGAGATGTGTTTTATAAGTAAAAATTGTATAAAAAGCGCTCAAAGGCCAAAAAGAGCCTCTAATCCTTCAAAGAGGCCACAAAATCGACAATCTCCTCTAAAGATCTATAATCTCTCCCTGAAACCCAACAAAACATAGTGTAAAGAATAGAGAATTTGAAATTGATAGTAGCTGTCAAATTACTGATAAAATGTGGCGGCCATTGAGAAACCCATCACTCAAAAGCCCCATATATAAGGTAAAAGTGGGGAAGTCTTTTACTGGCATTTGATTACTCTCAAATTTTAGCCGCAGGTAAAAGCAAAATAGTGAAGCTAATTTGATTTAGAAATGCACGCTATACATAATTGGGATAACACATTATTGAATTGCACGAAGTTGACTTGTTTCGTTAACATATTTAGTGTTTTAATACGTGTTACCATTTGTTGAGGGTTTCCGAAGTGATGGAAATGATACTTACTCAGAAAAAGATCTACAAACTCAGCGATATTTGTAGCAGTTGATTACTTAAACAAGAACTTGTTTTATTAATTTATATATTTTTTTCTGGAAAGATATATAATTTGTAAGGCTAGCTGGTTTAATTTATATTTTATTTTATTTATGTTTTTGTCATTAGTCTGAACAGGTAACTAAGAATAGTATATTAGATTTGGTTGAATTTGGGAGGAGAAAATAAAGTGGAAAATATAATAAAGGAACAAACACAGAATACAATAATTTTTGCATGGTTCACCCAAATAAAGTTGGACAATGGCAGATTGAAAAACCTCAACTAAACAAGGGGATTACAGGATATGGATTTTTTGGGAAGTCAATCAAAAGGTTCCAAAAGCAAAATACTTGGCTGTAGATATACTCCACACTGCTCACCATGAAGGAATGGGAAGTGGGGGTGGATTGAGGAGAGACCCTTTCTTACCTTGGGTACACTGAAATTCCATCCACTAAAACTTTTTATAGAGCTCTCAACCAAGCCTTTATAAGGCAAGAAATATGAAATTTCCCTCGAGAGAATTCCAAAGAAGAATCCTACCGACATTAATAAATTGAGTTGCTAACTTGCTATGAATATTTTCCTGCTCTGCAGGACATGATTTGTGCCCTTGCTGAACTTGAGAGTGGCAGGCAGCCCCTTTTTACACAGTATAATAATAAAACCAAAGAAGTAACTATGGGGATCATGCAAATTTTGGCAAAAACTGCAGAGTGGTTGGTCAGGTACTAATTAATGCTCTGATTGTGATCTGAGGGTGTAACTCCCAGCTAAGAGTAGCAATTCTTTTTGGTGGAATAAAGTTAAAACCAAACTTGCTCGCAGGGAGGTGGGTTGCCAGGCATATGGAGTGGAACGGAATTCAAATCTTTTGTACGGGCCTTTCATAAACAACGAGATGACTAATTTTGGCCAAAAGTAAGTTACACATTTTTTTCAAGTTTTCCTTTACCAGCAATATTCTACATTTATACAATTTCTATTTTGAGTTTTGTTGGTGTTTAAGTTCTAATCTGCAGAGAAGAACTGAAGAGTTCATAGTGAAAAATGTGTAGTGAAGAATTTGGTTTATTTGTGCCCTTGAAAAACTAGAAAAATCTGATTTCTCGACACACCTGCATCTGACTTCCACAATTTAGTCCATGTAACAGTTCATAAGTAACTAGCCGACTTTCTAGGGGGAAATAACACAACAAAAGTGCACAAGAAGTTGTCCTGTATGTATGTCTGTCCAATGAAGAATTTGGTGTATTTGTTGAAAAATTTATGAACTTGCATAGTGAGATATGCTTGGATGTCCTTTTTTCTTTTATTTCTATTTTTATATTTGGTATGTTTCTAAGTAAATAAATATAATTTGGTCTATTGAAAATGCCAATTTTTTTTGAAATTTTCATGATCTGAATATATATATATATATATATTAATTTGAGTTCAAAAGTTCAAATTGTTTTTATTTTTCCTCAATGGAAAAGGCAAATTTTACCACCAAGCATTAGCTTGAGTAGTATCTCCTCCACCTCCAAAAAAGGTTTAGGGATCAAGTCCCAAATAGAACAAAGTGCTGTGTTGCTCACACACTCTTATCTATAAAAAAAAGATGCAAACTTCGTATATCTTTTCTTTTTCCACCAATACACCATATACTGGGTATGTATATTGTTTTACTGTTAGTTTGGTTGTGTTCATACTTCTTCTACTTCTTAATTTTAACAAAAGAGAAGATGAGCAAAGAAGTTCATGTATTTATTTTTTATGTGGCATTAGGGTAAGATGGCATAGTTGGAGTAACAATTTTGGAAATGATAATGATGGATATTTTTTTTTCCTTGGCAAGAAAGTCACACTCATTTGCCCCTATGGCCACTTGAACCTTCACCTTCCTCTTTGAGCTAGGTTACAACACCCTTGGTGATAATCATGAAATTTAGTTTATACATATATTTTAATATTATGAACATATAATCTTCATGTCTATTTTACCATTCACTGAACGGAGTCTTATATAAACTAATTGTAATAATCATATCCGCAGGTGCTTTTATCCTTGATATAAGTTAAAATATAGCATGTTCCATATTTTTGAACTGAAGGTACATGATTATAATCCATTGCTAGAAATATATATCATGTTAAAGAATGATACATTGGGAAGGATCTATACAACTATGCATGTATGTAATCACTAAGTTTGATCTACGGCTTGCAAGAAGAAAATAGTGCATCTAAAAATAATGGAAACGTCATTGCTGATACTGACTGGCTTATGTATCATTTTTTTTCAGAAAAGTTTTGGAAGTTGATCCTTTCCCGAAGAATCCTGCTCCCGCGACTCAAGCTTCAAAAATGCCAGGTGTCCCTTCTTAATGCAATTTAACGTTACTTATATCATGTACATACATATTATTTTATATGCATTATATTCTGTTCCGAGAAACTTTTGAGTGTTTAACTGATTAGTTGATCTAAATTGTCTAGTTCCAGTGTTAAAATGTTGGTCGACCAACATCGTGATGAGGTCAAGCTTAGTAAAATGTCAAATTTCCCAGCTAATCGCGTTATTCAGCTTGTACAATCGCCACATGTGAATATTCTTCCATAACTCAATAGAAACTAAGATCATAAGAAGTATTAGTGATGGAGCCAGGATTTTACTTCAGGGGGGCATAAAGTAATTTTTTTATTCAACTACCATGACAACTAATAGTGAGTGTAATTTGAAAATAACAAGTCCAGTAACGGTGCATTAATCAAGATTCAAATAGTATGTCATTATTTGCAAAATATTACAGTAAAGAAAAATTTAAAAATTTAAAATTACAGTAATAAATTTAAATAAGAAGAGAAAAAAAGGAGGTTACAACACATACACCATACATGGGGTGCAAAAGGAAGAATTTTATGAAGAGGGAAAAAAAACAATAAGAAAAAGGAGAGAACTATGGAGATAGAAAAAAAATTTAGGGTTTGAAGACGGGCAATCTGATTTTGTTAAGGAATTTGAAGAGGAAAAGAGAAAAGAAAGAAAAAATTAGAGATATTTATAGAAATTGAAAATTTCACTGGCTGTCCCTGAGAAGTATAATATCTAAACTGAGGCTTAGTCATAACAATTATTATAGCCTAACTGGAGCTAGTTTTAATTGCTTATCTCATCACCATTAGCAATTCCTAACTTACACATGAATATGTTGTTATCACGGTGATCTATTTAAAATTGATATGCTAAGTTTGTGCAATAATCACCAAACAGAAAGAATAAGATCTATTGGATACTTCATTAACTTCTTTTGTCATATTTGCATATTTTTGCTTTTACATTTTTTAAAGTTGGTGTTACATTATATTTACCCCTTTAATGTCAACAAACAGCATTTTAAATTGGTCTCTCTGACATCTGACTGTTATTTGAACAGAGATTTTTTAGAAAGATATTGTGGAGATAAAAATAAGATCTATGCAACCAAGATAACATATGTTATATCTGATGCAAATACTTCAATTTCTTGTTCTATATTTTCTTTAGCTGTTCTCTTATTTATTTAACTCACACACAGATCTTGTTACTAATTTTGTGATTCTTGGTAAATTCTTTCTACCATGATTTAGAATGCAATCATGCTTTCTTTCATCTTCATATGTCTAGAATGTCTACTTACTTTTCTTTACATGAGGGAGCAGGTTCCGGTAATACAACATGGGACTCTAGAGCTTCTCCAGAAGACATGGAGGGGATGTGGAATAATCCCACTGTTAGTAAAGAGTGGCACACATCTGGAGAGAAGAAGGGAAAAGTGCGATTTTCTCTCGATGGTCAGATGAAGCCCTATCTCTCACGGGCAGAAATGAAGGTAAGATAATAAAAATATGAACATATGTAACAGATTAGGGTAAATTGCAAAAACAACCCTTAGTAGTATTACTGTATGATTTTTCAGCTACCCACCTGAACTAAATTTCATGTCAAATAACCCCCAGTATATCTAAAAGTTACAAACTGCTTTATTGTGCTGTTATCCATTTTATTATATATGTTCTTTTTCACTGTTACCATTTTTTTCAGCTTCAGAAGTTATGTATAATGCAGTTTATGCCATTAGGGATGCATAAATTTTCATGACCCCCTGACAAACATCACTTATACTTTGAACGTTTACTATAACCTGCTGAAATAATTGTAAATTCAGCTTGTATAAAAAAATTGTTATACATCAGCTTTTGTGTTGCGACTGATTGCAGGTGTCCAAGGGAATAGTTCTGCCCCCAAAGGGATTGGGGACATTAATGAATGTCATTCTTATCAATGACATCATGGAAACAATAGAAAATTGTTTTCATTTTCTGTTAATTGTCTTTTGCAAGTGAACGGAATCCAAATTTTAATTGTCTTTTGTTGTATGGAATGTGAAATTCTGTTTTCTTCCGATATATCCTAAATTTCGCCACAAAAGGTTATTTTTATGCGTATAAACAACTATTAATAATTTTATAGTATTTTTTAGTCTGGTAATTTGGGACTACTTTTTGTGATCAATGAGGATACACTCTTTTTTCTTGACAAACAAATAATTTATTATGCTCTGATTAATGAATTTTGCCTTTTGCAGTTTTTAACATTTTTGTAGCTGTATCTTTATGTGCTCTCAATTTTCAGCTTTATTGATATGAAGGCCTATCGATAACCTAACTCCTTTGGCAGTTATATAAAGTAGTTGGTTGTCTAGTTTTCCTCAGTTTTGGCAGTGATTCTATTCTTGATTTATAGTCCTCCTATATTGCTATATTTTTGCATAATATAGAGTAACCAGTAAAGTATCATGTTACAAATTATAGCAAGGTCACCAAAACCTTCCTGAGTAGTACAAGTTAATTGTTAGCTTCAGTTTCTGAGTTTTATTTTCCTTTTGTTAATTGTTAGCTTCAGTTTCTGAGTTTTATTTTTCCTTGTTATATTTGTGTGTGCAATTTTTACCTTTTGTTTTTGTTATCTCATCCTTCTTGAAACTCACTTTGTCTGCAGACGGTTTTATGTGCTCTTGCTGAGATTGTTAGCATGCGTTTTGTTAATGTTTCTGGAGCATGTACTGGCTTAACGGGAATTGACTACCCCACAGCTTGCTGGCTTTACAAGTATGTAAATACTGTGATCAAAACTGAACGTTTAGTTTTGGTAGCAATTTTGTTAATTTAGGCCCCTGTATGGTTGTTGGACCGGCTCACCAAAATGAATTGACTGCATCCAATTCCCCCTAGCATTTTAGTGGTCATGTCATTCAAGATGTCGATCACCGAACATATTAGATCAATTTTGAAACCGTACCTTCTCATATTTTATTCCCATGCTGAATCGTGGTTGAATCTTTTGCACCTTGATCTCTAGGGACTTGGGCTACAAGGCTTACTCAGTAGAGAGAGTTGAGGATCTAACCAAGCTGTTTGTTTCGATGTCCTTTGGTGCGGCCTATTTGGCTTTGTTATCACAATATGACCATTTATTACTAGCATTTTTGGTCTATGTCCCTGACCGCGATTCACTGACTATCTTGTTCATAACCAGGGAAAGAAGTGTACAGTTTGTTGTTCAGGCAGGAGACCGGTCCTCAATGGCTTAAATTTCAGGAAGCGTTAGCTATGAAGTAGGTTGTCCTCTCTTTTACACAAAATGGGTTTCTTATTCATGGCATTTTCAACACAAAAAAGATTTTTTTCAAAAAGCCTTTTCAAATTAGATACACTGATTGTTATTTCAATACAAGAATCAACTTCTGTTTCTTCTTATGGAGCTATCATAGAGTTATATATATATATATATATATATATATATATATATATATATATATATGTATCAAATGCATATATTTGATTGATGAAATGATCATTTACAGGGAGCAAGGGGGTTGCACAATTTTGTGAGCTGGCTAAGTGGAACCTCATGATATGGTTTTTTCCCTGGGATACATTCTTTGGAGTAGCATTGGATATGACTGAAATCTTGAATACGAAAAAACATATTAAATATAGTGGATGTTGTTGTTGTATTTGTAATGATGATTTTTTCTGAAGACATTTTCCACACTGCATTACTCTTTGTGAGTGGCTCGTATGAAATTGAGTAAAAATTTACTTCTCTGTTTTTTTTTTGCTCTCCTTATCTAAGTGTCGACTTTTTAATTCAGAAGGTAGAAAAAATCCATTTTATTACAATGATGGTATAACTATGTTGAGTACATGAAATAAATAAGAAATTATTTCGTCTGCATATCTGCCATTTTAGTGAAAGAAAGGAAAAGATATAAAAATCCTTCACTATGTGATAAAGTATTGTAATGGAGGAGCTCTATTTTATAACTTCTTGAGGAAGGGCAAACCAATATCCTTATCCCATATACGTTTTCATGGATCTTCTATTCTCAATATGCTCTCCACATACTTGTCATAGTTGAATATAATTATTATACATTTTTATAATTTTTTTTTTTTTAATTTCTAGATCATATTTATATATATAGTAGAATTGAATGAAGTGTAATGTATGTTTTACGTTTGGGTCCGTATTTATTACTTGATCCTATGAGTTTGATATCATAATTGGACAATGAAGGTCCTCAATATGCTTTCACTTTGATAGAATGGTTACAAATCAACCAAATCGAGTTATGTTTAAAATTGATCAGTTTTAATTCATTTGTTTGTTTTATGATTTATAAGCTCTGATTAGGACATGAAATGAAGTTAATTTGACTTCAAATCCGAATTGATTTGAAGTTAATTCCTAATGAATTTTAAATTTATTTTTGAATTCAAAAAAAAAAAAATTAAAAAAAAAGTGAAGTTAGTTTCACTTTGAGATCGAATTTGATTTTAAATTCATTTTTAACTAATTTTGAATTTTATTTTTTAATCCCAATTAAAAACATATTGTAATATGGACCTTTCTCAAAACAACAATCACAGATTTGGATACGATTAATTCTAAAATAAATCAGGTTTTACCCAAGCGTTTGAACCAAATCAAGAAGACTTTGTTACTAATTCTTATGGGCGGCGATTCTAGTAAAGCTACATTAGATCATTTCTATTTCAATTTTCAAGCCTGAACACTACTATAATGCACGTGTCTTTTAAGGGCAAAACGTGATGTTAAATTAAGTAAAAGGCACTAGATATGAGGGGTAAATTAGGACTTGTAGCAGAAACTTGAAAGTGACTTTATGGTTTGACTATTATACGTCTCGGTGGGACAAAGAAAGAGACATTTGAGTCGTCATTATATATATATATATATATATATATATATTTTTGGGAATTTGATATGTATACGAGGTTTCACAATTCACACTTGTTTTCAGTCACAATAACGGCGGAGTTACTCAAATCTTGTTACCATTTTGAGAGTTTTCTCTTCAGGTACAGATTCTGATTCAAATTCATCTGATTTTTTATTATCTAAAATGATGTATTGAAGATGATAATGATATAGATTACTGCACTTTTAGATATTTCTTTGGCATAAATGGGTTCGTGTTGTATTGTTTCCATACCTTTCAATTATAATGATTTATCGAGAAATATGATATAGATATGGTTCTATTCACACCCACATACACGTTTCATTTTTCATTGAAAGGTCTTATGTTTAAAAAAGTTGAAATTTTTGTTTGATGAATTCAATTGTGGAACTGGAATTATGTTGAAGCTCATAGATGTGTTTCCTGGAATTTGTAGATTAATTGTTTTTGACATAAATGTAGAAAGCAAAATGAATATTCAGGTGTGGGTTTTAGTCTTTTTGAGTATGAAAAGAAGCTTGCTTCCAATTACAATCAATACTCAAATTATTATATATATATATTTTTATTTTCGTGTCATTCACAGAGTTGAAAGCATAGCCAAAGATGTAGTAGAATCATGACAAGACGGTGGTAGCCAGTGTAGTCGATCCCAAGTATGTCCAATCACGACTCTATGTCCTACCTTAAATTTTGCAAATGTTTAGTGGGTTGGTGTTTGGTCTTTAGTTTATACTAACATTTGCATGAAGCAATTTTCTTTTGAATTTTATGGCAGAACATATGAAAAGTAGAAAATAAAAAAATAAGTAAGGGCCTCAAGGGGCACCACAATTTTGTGGGGGAAAAAAAATTTCCAGCTCCTTTATTAGCAGGAGTAAGGGGCAAAATATTTGCTAGATCTGTGGGTTGTTAAGGCTTTACTGTTATTAAAACTTGTTGAGAGTGGAGCCCATTTTGGGATCTTATTTTAGGCTATACTAAGAGCATTCAGCCTGTGATGAATGATGATTATAGTTATTTTTTGATAAAAAAATACATTCCAGCTGTTATTGTGAGATCATTGTAGTAAATTAATTTACTTCAAGGCTTTAGAAAGATTTCTTAAACTTCAATTATTACTAGTGCTTCTTATTGTTCGGATGACATGCGTTCAAACATTTACTTTTTTTCATCATTACCATCGTCCTTACCTTTTTTATTTATGTTTGTTCTTATTTAGCCAGTAAGGCCTTCTGAAGTAGTTGCCAAGTTCTAGATCCATTTCAGGGATGACAACATCTTCCATAAGAATGTGTTTTCACGAGCTAATCAATAACAAAGTTGTGACTTTTGACGCTTTGGAGGTTTTTGAAGATGGAATCTTCTCTATAAATGGTTTACACTGAAACATTTGAATTTTGACCATGAAAGTTCTTGTTAGTTATGATGAGATCCATGCCGAATTCTGCTCAAATGAATCTAGGAAGTGCTACTGGTCTGTATAACTCTGTGATATAGTCTAATCATTACCAAGTTGACAGATCATAGTTAGACTATCTTCCTTACTGTTTGCAAAATGGTTTTGAATTCCTCAAGATTGTCCTGACGAACAAAATCTTGCTATCTTGCATCTTTGGGAGCATTAACTTATCGATGACATGTTTATGTAGTCATAGAGAATTTTTTTTTTTTGGTAAGTAAAATTTATAAAAAGCACTCAAAAGGGGAGCGAATCCCAAAGAGAAACCAATGCTAATCTGATTGGCCGTTACTATTAAACTTTAATGAAAAAAATATCTGATGTTTGATTGCACTGGCTTCAGTTCCTCTCTTTTTTTCTTTTTTTTTTCCCTTTTCATCTTTCTTTTGATCTTTTTCCTTTCTTTATGTCTTCATGCTTGGAAGGTCATTGAAATTGGAAAGAGATAACTTGTGGGAAAGAAAGTTGGTAATTAAGGGTAAAATAAACTGGTTATCTTGTTAAGCATATGTTCGTTATCCCCTGTTCTCTGTTTTACTACACAAAATACACAAAATATCAGTCATATCCCCATTGTTAAAGTGGTCTACTGTGGTGTAATCACTGGTGGTCATATGGCCTTGAAATATATATAAGAGATTAGCTTGAGTTTAGCGCTAGATTTCTTTTTCCTTCCAAAAATCCATTCTGGCAAATAGAATTACAAGAATGTTCGAGTTTTAGGTATCATTGTTCATGCAAGAGTTAGTATATAAGGTGGTAACAATAAATTTCTTACCACAAGTTTATCTGGATTAAACAACCATACAAAGTTTTCATATTGCTTCTTTCCTTAAATAATCATTAAGTTTTAGGATGATTCTTATGTTATTATTTTCTTTATCAACTTCATTACTCAAACTGTCTGCCTGATTTTTTTTTTTTTCCAGCTTATGTACTGAGATCAATATATTTTATTGGTTTGGTAGGGAAGAGTGCAGGTATACCTGAGCGTCGTCAAGATTGTTGATGCTAGAGGAGTCTCAGTCTATAAAACACAACTTGGTTGCTGGATGAAGATAATTTCGAGTTTCAGTAGCCGTGATTTACAAATTTCAACTTGTATCCAGTGCATGTTATTTGTTAACCTTGTCCGCGAGTGAAGTTTCTGTTTTGGGGACAATTAGGAATGTGATGTTCCTGTATGGCTTTCATAAAATCCTCTTGGTATTCTGTCATTTGCATTTGCCCTACTGAAATTGAGTTTAATAGCAGAGGAAGCCCTGCACTTGTATGATGGAACAATAAAAAAAACTATAACAATGTCCAATATAATTCTATGGGAAGTGGAAATGAGCAACTTGAACATACATCTTGGGGGTTGTTGCTAGACTCCACAAGCTACACAAATGCCAATATTGAAACCTCCAGAGCTCAATGTTTCAAAAGCTAAACCTGTACTTAATTTCTCAATACAGACAGGTGAGGTGTTCTGTCTCAAATTTATGCATGATTGGGTGAATCCTTGGAAACCATTTGTTTCAAATACAGCCAATGACCCGAATTACATGACAGGCTACATGGACCTAAAAGGCATTTTAGGCATCTCCTTTACTGGGTCTGAAAGTGGATCAGATATTTCAATGCTCTCCATAATAGGAAAAGGTTCAAAAGAGTTTTGAGAGGAAGACCACTTCTTTATATGAAGACAGAAGCAACTATGGATCCATGCAATCTGTACCCCAAACTTCATCGGACTACAACAGTAATCGAGGAATTGTTCACGAGTATGCCTCTTCTGGAGCATCTAGTAGCTCATCAACAAAGATTCTATGCAGATTTGGTGGTAAAATTCTACCGCTGCCAAGTGATGCAAATCTCAGATATGTAGGAGGTGAAATGTGCATAATTCGTATCGGCAAGGATATTGCTTGGCACGAGCTGTGGCAGAAAACTGTAACAGTGTACAACCAAACTCATACAATTAAATATCAGCTTCCTGGGGAGGATCTTGATGCCTTGGTTTCTCTGTGTCTTGTGATGAGGATCTGCAGAATATGATGGAGGAATGCAGTGTATTAGAAGATGGAGAAGGCTCGAAGAAACTTAGGATGTTTCTGTTCTCCATGGGCGATTTGGATGATTCTCATTATGGTCTGGGCAGCACTGATGGTGACTTTGAGATTCAGTATGTAGTTGCTGTTAATGGCATGGCCATGGGATCCAGAAAGAACTCAACTCTTCATGGTCTAGCGAGCTCTTCAGGAAATAATTTAAATGAGCTAGGACAGAATGTTGAGGGAAACACAGGTAGAATTACGTCTGAATTTGGTGGAATTAGTAGTTCACCTTTGACTGGCTTTACTGTCTCATCTTCGACAACTCAATATTCTCAACCGATTCAA